ATCTTTGCCACTAGCAGTAGAGATGGCAGAAAAGACTCAATTCAGGATTTTCAGAAAAGACTCTATTTTTTTGGCAGAAAAGACTCCATTCAGTGATAAGTATCCTTGTTTTTTCCATGTTCCATTGCACGATACACAAATATCGGTTTATGTCAAAGCTGTATTTTGCAATTTATTAGCAGCATTTATCATTGTTTTTTCTGCTGCAGTTTTAACAGCTTTTGAAATTACTTTAATCAGTTTTTCAAAATTGTTTTTGGTCATTGGCTTAGGTAGATTCATAATAGTACCAAATTTTTTTATGCCTGCATATCCATGACCCAATAATCGCGTACAATAAATTATTTGTTTATTGATATCAAATCTTTTTTTATTGTCATAGTTAGAGGAGTAGAACTTTTGAAAATAGTTACAACCTCTTTCCATACACTTAAGATATAGTAAGGAAGATAAACCACGTCGTTGAGTATATCTCTCACTTAGTAAGAGTGTGGAACAACCACACTCTAGACACAGAACAGAACTTAAAATAGACAGTAAAACAGCAACATCGGTTATAGGATAACCAGATATGGTTTCGAAAAATTTTGTATCTTCTAAGTTTTCGATTTTATGAGCTGAAGCTGACAAGTTAAGTGGATTTCAATAATTGGTTCAGTAACACAAGTGATGTTAGGAGCATTTGAATTTATTGTCGGCAATTCGATATTAGTACTATCAGATACATTATCAGTATTAACAGAGTTTTGAACATTTCCCATAAACTATTTCCTTTTATAATGAGTTTGTGTACATCTCTTCGCTTGACAAGCTCTCCCCATTTTTACTGATTAAACAAACCTAATAAAATCTCAAGAACTGACTGAACTGAAGAATATTGTCGAACTTGATGTACCAAGGTATTGGTAAATTCAAGAAAAACGCATCAAGAAGTAGTTCAAGCTTATGGATTGTAACACTATTTTGGATGAAATTAAAGTAAAAGTATGGTATATAAAATTGTTTAAGTGCGTTGCTATGGCGTTGCCAAGGATATCGCCATGGTGGTTAACTTAAACAGACAATTTAAGATAGTTAAAGGTTAATCTGATACTTCTACATAGTTTAAAATAATTGAAACTAAAAAAAAAAAAAAAATTGAAAATTTTGAAATTTTATGAGGTATAGCCCCTTAACGGGCTCTTTTTATATATTTTGTTTGATTGGTTACAGCATCTTTTTCTGGACTTCAGCGGTTTATTTAATATTGATTATTTTTAACGTCACCTATTTAATTATAACGCAAATTATATTCGGCAATGTTATTAAGAGCAAAAAAAGATTTTTTAAATCATGAGATTAACATCTCAGAATCTCAGTAGCAAAATCAAAATCAAAAAAGTTTTGCTGCTTATGAGTTTTTGAATAATTGATTAAGGTTTTGTTCATCGGAAACAAAAGTAAAACAAATTGCTCATTGAAAATAAAAGTCTGTTAACGAAAAAGTATGGAAAGTAGTAATGACCACCAACAATACTAAGTATTTAGTGAGGTAGTCAATCAAGGCTAGCTATTGAACTTATTTAAAACACATCTACGTCAGTCATCGATAGTTATAACCTTCAATAATACCCTATAATAAAAAAATAAATAAGAACAATACAAAAAATAAAGCAAGACAACGATGATACAAGGCTACACTTGCAAATGTATGATTTTATTCTTATACAATGATTCGTTAGTAACTTAAAAATTAAAAAAAAAAAACATAAACTCTTAAAATTATGTGGTATATAAAATATTGAGTATATGATTGTAAATATAATAGTTTTTGAGGAGGGTTGTAATCTTCCGTACAATTTATAATCGTAACGAGTGAAATTAAAAAGTTAAGCTAAATTAAAGTAATGTTGAAAAAGTTCATAACTATAATTAAAAGTGTCTGTATACAAAAAAGTATGCTTAATTTCATTTTTAATTAGCTTTACGAACTCAATGGCTCTTCCATTTTATTCATAAACTATAATATTATAAATTGTAATATTATAATTTATAAATAGTTCATACAATCATTAGGAACCAGAACCTTCTAGGTTTCTAATATAAAATATAAAAATTACTCATGCTTAAGAAAACATTGTATTTATTGATAAATTGATTTTTCATTAGCATTATATGTTTAATATTTTTGACATTAATGATTTCAAGGCGTTTGCAAATGAATTTTAATATCGTTAACTATGGTTTGGCAGTAGCTATACAATAAAATGTTTACAATGTTATTAAATAGGTCGATCTCCGGGTTTCTGTAAATTAAATTAAATAAAAAAAGAAAAAGATAACGTATAAAACATAACGTATAACGCATGACCTTGCATGTTACGTGTAATTCATTAACTTATGACAAGTTAAGCTTTAAACGCGTAATAAATTTGAGTAATTTTGTCAAGTATTTAAAGAAGCCCTCAGACAAGTTAATATAGTTTAGTAACTTTGAAGAATGTTTTGGGTAGTTTTCTTAATTGCAACTTCAGGTGTTTACGGAGGCGATGAAGTGTTACATGTGCAACAACAGAGCATGTGCACTGAAGTCACAAGTGCACCTACTCTTGATTGCCGTTGGCATGCAAATCTTGATGTTTACGCCGATTCGATTATTCTTGGGGGTTGCACAATAGCTGCATTTAAGCTCAAATGGTTCAGTGGTGCGTGGTCAGATTGGTACGTTAAAGGAGTCAATGATATTGATGTTAAAGTAAACATAACCCCTTTACCCAACTGCGCTACTCCAGTTTTAACAAATTCTATGCGTCGGTGGTGGTCATATTTTTACGATCATACTCATAGGTATATTAAATGTTGTCGTAGTTAAGCAGCTTAAGATTGGGTGTAAGAAGGTTGGTAACGAGATGACAAATATTATACAATAGTTTCTTAATAAACACTTTTTATTTAGCCATTTATTATTTTATTAATGTACGCACTTTTTTATATCTGTTAAAATACTTTGTTATCTTGTTTTATTTATGAATAGTTATTTGTAATAAATTAAAATATTTTGTCAAATAATTTTTTTTTAATAAATTCGTTGTGAACCTGATTCGTGAATAAAATTCTCAGAGAAAAAACCACTTTAGAATCATTTTTTTCTCTTGAGTTTTCCACTTGAATTAGTTTTACATAATTTTTTAAACCACTTTTTCAAGTAGGTTGAGAGCAGAAAGTTTTGTGCAGACCAAACTTTCGTAATTCTTGTGTAACTTACGGAAACCGAAGGCTTATTTGGTATTCACAAACGTTTTGCAGCATTTGCTTAAAGTTAAGGCTGCGCAAACTTCTATCAACTAAAAATCTTTAGTTATAAACAAATGAAAAACCATTTTTTCTACATTTTTAACTAAAATAAACAAGGTAGTCTAACTGTATCAATAGAGCAATTATTATATATACTCAACTACTTTTTTATTACTATAGTAACTTTTTTAGTTTAAGTTTAAATCTAGGAACATTGGTTATTTAGTGAAAATTTACTTAAACTTGACAAAAAAAGTAGGAAGTTAATTTTAAATTATAATTCAAAGGATTATAGATACATTGTTGTTGAAATACTTTTGAATTTTTTTTTTTTTGACAATATTTGGGATTTTACCCCTAATACTGAGAAATGCTATACTACAAACGTATTGTTTGCTCATCAACAGAATTTTTTTTTGTTGGCCCACACAACTATTAATAGCATTATTCTGAAGGAGTTAAAAATTAAGAAACTAATACAGTAGAATTCCGTTAACTCGGACTCGGAACGGGTATATATATTTTGTCCGACTTATCCAGGGGTCCGAGTTAACGGGATTTTATTGTATACTACTACAATGAACAAAATTTAAAGCACCTTAACAAGTAGTTCTCAAGTTATTTATTGCTGCATACTAAAATGGCATTCTGAGAAAAAAACAATTTAATATAATAAAAACTGAAAAAGTAAGTCAAAATATTAAAACAAACTTTTATTGAATTTCTAAAGATTTGTTTTCAACTGATAGTGTAAAACAGTAGTTTCTTATAAGTTTAACTATTTAAGTTAGACTAAGCTTATAAAAGTAAGCTTATAAATTTAAACCAAAACCACTAAAAACTTCTAGCATCATGCACCAGCAACATTCCATTTATTTAATTTCTTCATCTCGATTGGACCTTTTCATTTTAATTTGTTTCTGGTATTTAATTTATCAGATGATTCTTTTGCTTTACTTTTTGCGATATTTTTATATTTTTACATTTTGCGATATTACAAAATGTAAGATAATTTTTTACCAAGGTTATTACCAAGTTTTAAATTAACATTTAGTATATCAAATTTTTTGGACACCGTTCCCAAGTTATCGCATTTAAAGCATTATTATTTTTCTGAATATTTTCATGAAAGACGTTTTCACAAACCGAGATATAGCTTAGAAAAAAATGCTTTAGGCATTGTATTTTTTGATCTTTTGTGTTCAATATCTTTTGTCATAATGGAAATTCTTTGAACAAAAATTCCAAACACTTCATTGATCCCCCCCCCCATCCTTTGTATTAAGAACTCGAGAGTATGTACATTTTTTGCTTTTTTTAATCATTATCAACAAATATTTGGACTATGTTTACTCCACTTGGTTTCAAAAATAATTGAACTTTAGGGAATATTTAAATAATTAGTGGAACTTTCTGGCAGAAACATTTTACATACTTAGTCTTTGCATACTAAAATTTAAAACTTAATTTTCTGGATCACACAAAAAAAAGATATACGGCCTTTTGGTTCTCGGCTGACGAATTTACAAAATATTTACTTTAATATTAACAGATGCATAAATTCAAAATTAAATATTTACTTTAATATTCATTAAGAAATGCATAAATTCTAAATATTCATTAACAAATGTATAAATTCTAAATTAAAAATTTGGACAAATGAAATACCACAAATAGCATTTTAAATATTTAACGAACTTTAAAATATTTTTTATAAAAACGTTTCATAAAAGTAAAGAATCTTTTCTACAATAAATAAATATATTTACACAATATATGTTGAACTATATATTAATTGATTATGCATTTATCGCAGAACCAACATTATTTACAGGTGACATCGCCAATCCTTTTGTTCTGAAAAAAATTATTGTACATTATCTTAAAACTTAAATAAAAAAAAAAAGAATCATCAGAAAGATTTCTGAGTCTTTATAGATAAAACACAGTAAAAAATGAAAAAAATTTGATAAGCGATTATCTACTAATTTATATATATATATATATATATATATATATATATATATATATATATATATACATATATATATATATATATATATATATATATATATATATATATATATATATATATATATATATATATATATATATATATATATATATATATATATATATATAATGTATTATTATGATATAATAAAAATAATAATACAAATACTCTTGTGAGTTTAAGAGTGCTAAATACTATTAATAGAGCAATATTTATTTATTTATATAAAATGAACAACTTTTAATGGACACTGAACTCTATATATTTTAAAATGACACTGAACTTTCCAAAGAAATATGGAAGCTAAAATCTAAAAATATATAAACCTGTGATTTCATGGAAGATAATTGGACGATGTAAGCCCTATAATCAAGCATCAAAAGTTTGTAACCTTTGTCTTCGCGAGAAATTTCATAAATTATCATACAGAGGAGTAAACGTCACTTAAACGGTTTTTAAGTGACGAATTATACGCAATGGCTGATGATCGCCATAAGGCATGAAACTCATAGTTCCATAAAAAGTTGTTTTTATTCATTTTATATAAATAAATAAATAAATTTATATATATATATATATATATATATATATATATATATATATATATATATATATACATATATATATATATATATATATACATATATACATATATACATATATACATATATACATATATACATATATATATATATATATATACATATTAGGGTGGTGCTAAAAACAACTTTTTTTAAAAATGTCTGTTGACACCCCCTAAACGTGTTTTATCTAATACAAAAACACTAAGTTTAAATTTTTTTTGAATAAAAAATATTTTAAGAGGTGCCACATGACCCTCAAAAATTTAATGGGTCCCTAATATTTAAAAAAAAAAAGTCAAAAATAATGTTCATTTTGAAAGAAATTTTTGAAAAAAACTTACTTATCAAAATTATAAAATAAATCATAAAAAATGCATTTTTTTCATTTTTTGTTTAAAAACGCAATTTTTTATGTAATAAAACAAAAAATTACAATTTTTTTTCGAAATGAAAATTATTTTTGAAATTTTTATACAATTTCGCTTCATTTGAGTACCAGGTTAACATATTTTTGAAAAACTTTTTTTTTGAAAATATTAGGGACCCATTAAATTTTCAAGGGTCATGGGGCACCCTTTAAAATATTTTTTATTCAAAAAAAATTTTAACTTAGTGTTTTTGTATTAGATAGAACACGTTTAGGGGGTGTCAACAGACATTTTCAAAAAAAGTTGTTTTTAGCACTACCCTAATATATATATATATATATATATATATATATATATATATATATATATATATATATATATATATATATATATATATATATATATATATAATATATATATATATATATATATATATATAAATATAAATATACTATATCTAAAAAAAACACCTATAAAATTTAATTCAAATAAATAGTGATAACAATAAGAATAAAAATTAAGAAAAAAAGTGATAATTATAAGAAAAGGAATAATAGTTATTGTAAAAATTATATAACGAAATTAACCACAAAAATAAAACTCATGATAACAACAACAATAATAATAATAAAATTAACAATAATGTCAATAATAATAATTATTATTAATAATAATGATAACAACAATAATAATATAAAAATAATATTAGTTATAATTGAAAGTATAATAATAAAAAGTAAATACCAATTAATTGATATTAATAATAATATGGGAATGAAAGCAGTAATTATTTAAAAGTATGCATATGTATATAATAATAATATAAATAAAATAATAATAATAATAATAATAATAATAATAATAATAATAATAATAATAATAATAATAATAATAATAAGGAACAACACTAGTACTTATCAAACATATAACAATAAAACAATAATAAAAGTAATAACAATAATATTCTAAATATAAAAAATGTGAGATATATATTCATGTATATATACCTATATACATACACACATAAGCACACATACATGCATATATATAAATACACATACATACACATGTATGCCTATATATATACATACATATACATACACATGCATATATACAAATACATCTACACATACACATACATACACACATGCACATATACATACAGACATACATACACATATACACATACCCATACATATACATACACACATACATACATATACACATACATGCATACACACATATATACATAAATCCGTACACATACATATATACACATATACATATATACATACACACATATATACATATACACACATACATTCATACTTATATACATGTATATATATATATGTATACATGTATATAACATACACATACATGTATACTTATATATATGTATATATATATATTTATATATATATATATATATATATATATATATATATATATATATATATATATATATATATATATATATATATATAATACACATACATACATACATACATACATACATACATACATACATACATACATACATACATACATACATACATACATACATATATACATATGCATACACATATACATGCATACATATACACATACCCATACATTAATACACACACGCATATACAAAATATACACATACACACATGTGTACACATATATACACGCATACATACATTTATACATACACACATACTTTAAACATACCTACATACATATACATATACATATACATACACATACATATATACATACACGCATATATATACACACACATATATATACACATACACACACATACATATATACCCACAACCACATATACATACATACATACAAATATACATACATATACATGTATATACATATACATACACATACATACCTAAATACACACATATACATAACATAATATGTTACTCAAATTGGGAGCAAATTGGGATTTAAATATAACTCTGATGTTTTGTTTTCTAAATTCTCTTTGGAATTTTGGACCAATAATGGGCATCAAAGGTAACTTAACTAATTGTTTAGATGTAGTATTTTTTGGTCTAAATAGTTTTTGGTTATTTTAATAATTAGCTGGTGTCTGTGGTTCTAAATTGCAACAATTTTGTTATACACATTGAATAAATAAGTTTTAATCTTGCTTTTTAAGTATCTTACAATCTAAAACAAAAACTTCCCAAGTGTTCACGATACGATTATGGGTAACTTTCACACGTTAATGGGTAACTTTGGGCCAGTATAGACCAAAAGTTACCCATTATCATGTCTACTGTGAGATTTCAATTTGATTCGATCTCTATTAAAATATTTTGCAGAAGCACTTTTTAGAAAACTGCAAAAATTTTTACGCATTCAGAATGTTTTAATTTTTTTAATGAAAATGAAAACATTCTGAATGTTTTTATTTTTTCACTGTTACATCGAATGACATTGAAGGAGTGCTGCTACATTAACTGACAAATATGTAGAACATAGAAGAAGTGCTGCTACTTTGACTAATAAATAGGTAGATTATATATAGGTAGAATAGGTAATACATCAACTGACATTCGAGGAGTGCTGCTAATTTGACTGACAAAAAGGAAAGAACATACAAAGAGAGCTGCTACTTTAACTCAAAAATAGGTAGAACATGCAATGAGTGCATCTACATTAACTATCAACTAAACTCTATTTGCTTTAAAATACTCATATCCACAAGGTCAGTTTTTGAATCATTATTAACTTGTTAGTAAATGTTGTTTTCCTGTTTTAACATGAAAATTCAATTTTATAAAATGAAACCGAATTTTTATAGTAAAATAGGAAAACAGCATTTGGACTATAATAGCTACTTGAAAGCTATTTTTAAAAAATGCAACTGGTTGCAATTTCTTCAAAATTTTGTAAATAACATTTTGAAAAACTGCAGCTTGTACATTTTTTAAAGGCAAATTTATTTTTCCCTGACCTACTTATTATATTTATTTTATATTTGATTACAATTGCAACTCATAGTTTTCATTTATAATTGTCATTTTCTTATAAATCCATTAATCTTATGGATCCATTGTCACCAGTGACAAAATTTTAATTGCTTTTGTTGGATCTGAAAGATTTTACTTTAACTCTCAACTCAACTTGTTTCTCTGCACAGCGACCTTGTTCGTCAAGGTTCATGTTTCGGAGTTATAGAGTTGAGAGAGGGTTACAAACACTAAGTAGCCTCCTCGTCTGTATGATTAAACAAGGTTAAACAAGAAGAATAAGATAATTACAGATTATTCAAAACTGGAAAATTGAGAGGAAACGTAGCCATCAAATAAAGATTTGCTAGTGCAATACATTAAAAGAGCAAATTTTGAAGCTTTTATCAAAATCAATTTCCATATCTAGGATAAAATTGTCTGCTACACTAGATTAGCTTCTTGATTTTGTTCGCTATTAAGAATATGTTCTTTTAATAAAGCTGGTAATTTATTTGCACAGATCTTTGCAAATATCAATAATGGTGACTTTTGCAAAAATCACTATATTCAGATGATATGGACTAAATATAGACTATATATAGTCCATAGTACATATAGTATTATGGATTTTTTTTTTTAATGAAAATCACTTGTAATTTTTATATTTTCTGACATTTAACTGCTAGATAAACATATTCAGCAGTAACATTCAATTAAAATTCAGTTTCAATTACAGTCCTCCTTTAAAGCATAGCATTTTATTTAGCTTTTCAAAATACCCTTGTTAAAATTTAGTTACTAAATGTGAACAATAGACATTTTTTATTTGAAAGCTTTTTCTGCAACAGATGATAAGCCTATAAGATAACTTTTGTTATAGTCATTAAAATAGTCAAAAGAACCTCTTTTTTAAGTCAATAAACCTCTTTTTCAAGTCAATAGAACCTCTTTTTCAAGTCAATAGAACCTCTTTTTCAAGTCAATAGAACCATTTGGTATTTTCAAAAAATGTATTTATGAGCAGGGTTGAGGTCAAATACGCTTGGTCAAATACAAAAACAGCTACAAATACATCAGTATTTTTCAAATTTAAATACAAATAAAAATATTTGCAAATACAAATTCAAATACAAATATATGCAATCAGTATTTTTCAAATTTAAATACTAATACAAATATTTGTAATTTAGGTTAAAAAAAAAATATAAAGATTTTTTCAAGACAAGACTAATAAAATGGTCTACTATGAAACTAATGAAAACAAGTCTTCTAGCAAATATCTCTTAAAAACAAATTTTTAATTAATTTTAGTGTTAAAAATAAAAAAAAATAAAAAAAAAAAAACGAACCTCTTGGTATTTCCAAAAAAATAACTAATTAACCTAGTTTATAGAACTGCAAATACATTTGAATCAAATACAAATACAAATATTTAATAACTTTTTTTTATCAAATACAATACAAATTCGCTAAATTAACCATTTTTACTAACTATCAATGCAATTAGGTACTTGACCCTAACTCTGTCTATGAGGAAATCAATTTCTTGTGAGAGATGTTTTTGAGAGCATATTTTTACTATATCAAAAAAGGTATTGATCATATAGACCAGTACCTTAACAAAAGATAAAGTTTTGATCATATAGACCAGTACCTTAACAAAAGTTCAGCTATGAAGTAGTGTTAAATCAGATTTATTAGGTTCAAAAATTATAACTTATAATAATTACAAAACTTATTAATGAAAAAAACATAAATATACTATTATTTAATAATGATTTAAAGTATAAAATATAGAAATATAAGGTTAATCTTCTCTAAGTGAAATGAAAAGATAGATAAGATGAAGAAGTTAAAGTCAGAATAAATTTGCAAGATATAGGGACCAGAGAATGAACTTTATTTAAAAAAATATATATCCATAAACATATATGTTAAAACACTGTTTGTAAGTAAATTTTTGAAAAATAAATGAGGCTTAGGCTTACCCTTATCTCTCACAAAGGTGTTAGGTAAGAGGTAAGGGTGTAAAATTAGGTACATCTGTAATTTTATCTGAACAGATTTTTTGGATATTTATAATTGGGTATCAAAATAAATGTTTCAGGAACAAATAGCAATAGTAAAATATGTTTCAATAGAAATGGTATATAAAAATTAAAAGATAAATAAAATTAAAATGTATCACACAATTCTATAAAACAAGAGTGAAGAAAAAAAATTAAACAAACTTACGCTTCATTAACAAAAACATCTATTCCTATCCTACCAGTTTCAGAACCGACTGGATTATGGTTATAATTTGTAACACCAAGATTATCCATTCCTATGTATCCCAAAATAAAAAATATTTTACATATAGATGTCACTGACAAATTAATAACAACTAATAAACTCAATTTTATCATTTTTTTAAATGTATTTTTTATAAAGCAAGTAATGCAGTGGTATTTTTACAAAAATTATTGCAAAAAATGTAATAATAATTGAAGCTGTGTTCTTGAGAGTTTTAAGAAAGAATGTAACAACTGTAGATGTTAGATTTTAACAACTGTTTTTCGCTAAACTTTTTAAGTTTATTTTTAAAATCAATTACTGAATTAGCGTTAACAACTTCACTGTCCAAACAATTCCAATTTTCAACTATACGGTTCGTGAAGAAATGATGCCTCGGCAAAAAGTTTTGAACATATAGCCTTCGCAACCTTTGATTGTGTCCTCTAGTTAGCCTACCCAATACTTCTGGTTCACGATGCCAATTGATAGTATCAATTTTGTTCATGAATTTGTACATTTGGATAAGATCACCTTTTTCCCTTCTACTTGATAGATTTTGTAAGTCCATTTTCTCTAATCTTTGCTCGTAACTGTCTTTCTTTTTTTTGTAGCCAAATTTTGTAGCTTTTTGTTGAATTTTTCTATTAAGTTTATATCTTTAATAAAATATAGAAAAGCATACTCTAAGTGTGGCCGAACGAGTGACATATATAACAATTTTGTTGATGTTTCATCTGGATAGAGGATTGCGTGCTTTAACATACCCAACTTTTGATTCGCCTTACTTACCATTTTTTCAATGTGGTCTTCCCATTTTAAATTGTCTGAAATATAAACACCAAGGTCTCTTTTTAATGACGTTACTATTAGTCCATGTTGAATAATCTCTGTTTCTGTAGCATTATATTTTAAATTATACTTTATTTTCGGATTATCACGACCAAAATGCATGATTTTACATTTATCTTTATTAAAACTGATAAGCCATCTTTTAGTCCAGTTAAATAAGATGTCAAGATCAAACTGTAGAGAGTTATTTATTTTATTTTTTTCTAGAACTGCAATTATTTTTAAATCGTCTGCATATAGTTTTGCTTTATTATTCAACTTTTTTGTTAAATCATTTATATAAATTATAAAAAGTAAGGGTCCTAAGACCGATCCTTGTGGTACCCCACTATGAACTGTTTCCCATTCTGATTCAAACAGTCCCAAAACAACTCTCTGTTTTCGATTTGCTAAAAAAGCTTTACACCATTGCAACAATTTTCCGACAATACCAAATGACTTCAGTTTCAAGAGCATCCTGGAATGCGGAACTGAATCAAATGCCTTAGAAAAATCTAAAAAGGTAACATCAACACATTTTCCACAATTTATTGCTTCTGTTATTATGTCTAATGTCTCGAGAAGGTTTGTTACACAATTTTTTGATTTATGAATCCGTGTTGTTCTGGTATTAATAACTTATTTTTATTTAAATGGTTTATTATTGTATCCTTAACAATACTTTCCATTACTTTACAAATAACAGAGGTCAATGAAATTGGACGGTAGTTACCTGCATTCAACCTATCCCCATTTTTAAAAATTGGAGTGATATTCGCTTTTAACCAGCTTGTAGGCAATGTTCCATTTAGAAATGATTGGTTAAATATCATACAGAGTGGTCTAGCTAAACTGTCAGCACACTTACTTAAAAATATTGGATGAATTCTATCGATACCTGGGGACTTATGCACATTTAGATTCAATAATCGTTTTTTAATATCTTTCTCATTAAACAATGGGGTTGGGCAAATTTTTTCTGTTATATTTTCACATGTAGACATATTAGTTAGGCTTTCGTTTATGAATACAGAATTGAAAAACAAATTTAACTGATTAGCAATAACTTGACTGTCAGTTGATATTTCATTGTTTTCAATTGAAATTGCTCTTATATGGTCTTTAGCTTTTAGTTTACTGTTAATATAAGCATAAACTTGTTTTGGATTTTTTTTTTGATTCTGTTGCAATTTTATTTTCATATTTTTGTATTGTAATCTTTACGAGTTTTTTAACTAACTTATCTTTTAGTTTATATTCTTCCTTAAGATCTAAATTTTTGAAATGAGAGGCTTTGTATCAATACCAAAGGTTACCTTAAGTCGAATTTCGTGTTTTAATTCTTTATTCATCCATAAGGATCTTTTGCTTTCAGTTGTAAAAGATTAAAAACTTTATGACTTTCTTTATGACTACAAATTTCAACTTTACATTCGTGAATTTGAGTAACAATATTTTTATAACCTGAAAAAACTATTTAGTTACCATATGGTAAATAATATTTGATATGGTAAATAATATTTAATAGCAAATCAGCTAATTACTATTAGCTAATTTGCTATTAAACAAACTATTTCAAGTTGCAAATCAAATTCAAAAATTTTAAAATATTTGTCAAATGTACCTGATTTATACTGCATATAACTGATATAACCTTTTTCAGCAGGATCCATAATTTTGAATAATGATCGCAAATTACTTTCATCAAATAAACATGGATAATTAACTTTGGAAGAGCGAGCAGACTTCATTTTCTCAAAATAGTCTATCATAAATTTTTTTGGATCATCTAAAATAATAATCAAATTTATTACAAAATATATAATCTATGTATATATTTTATATATACTATATATATTTTATATATATTATAGGTATATAAATACATAAACATTATATACATAAATATATATAAATGATGAGTCTTTATAAATGAAATTAAAACCTTTTTCTCTGAACTGTAGGAAAATTATTTCTCTACAACTATGTTAATAACAAGTTCAAATTTAGTTTTTTTAATAACTTTTTAATAACAGCTATATAAATAATGTTTATCTTGAACTCTTTTCTTATGTAATGTATCACTCACTCCTAAGTGCAGAGCGTGATTAGTACAAAATTTTCTGATGACATTAATGTGATAAATGTAATCAAAGCAGACTTCTTGAGTTGATCCATTAATATCTTTGGCCATATTAATGCTATAACTAACTAAATATTGTTCCGTTGCCAAAAATATATGCAAGACCAGTCTACAATGTTGTTCTCTCATCACTACAAAATAAATGCAAAACTAGTCTATAATGTTATTCTCTCATCACTTCTATAAAGATTCAAACCAAAAAATTGTCTTCCTCTTACAGTGGTATATTTATTTTACAGTAGTAATTATCTTCTTCTTACAGTGGTATATTTATCTCATGCACTGTTTTACTTCATTTTTGAGTTTTTCCAGGATGCTGACAAACATTGTTTTTCATTTCATAGCAATTTTGGTGGCATCCATCTGGAGATCGCTTTATATTTTAAGTATCTCTAGTGATTGCTTTTATAGATATTCCATCTGTTCAAGGTCTGTAAATCTGTTCAAGGTTTGTAAATCTGTTCAAGGTCTGTAAATCTGTTCAAGGTCTGTAAATCTGTTCAAGGTCTGTAAATCTGCTCAAGGTCTGTAAATCTGTTCAAGGTCTGTAAATCTGTTCAAGGTCTGTAATAGTATGTTCTGTGAATATATAATATATACTGTGCATGGCTAAAAATAGTAAATATTTGTAATGCTAAAAGAGCTATTTAATAGAGTAATTTTATTTAAAATTTGTGCTCAAATAACAAAAATTCAAAATAACTTGCTACACAGTAAAAATAAATTGTTAGTGAATATATATATCCAGTGCAAAAAAGCTAAGTATACTTAAAATAAAAACATGCATAAGTACTTGCAATTAAAATTAGGATATGTGTGTAGCATATTTTTATACTGTCAGCATGATTAAAAACAATAACTATTTGGTAATATCAAAGATCTATTTAATCTATTTTAATTACTTTTGCAATTAATAGAGCTAGATTTTCATCTAAATTCGTGAGCAAATAAATACTCAAAATAACTCATTACACTGTGAAAATAACTTATCAAATAAGTAGTATACACTAAGTATAAAATAATTAGTTTACCATAAGTATAACCTAAGTATACTAAAAGTGAGAGCATGTATTTTTAATCTAATTCTAGAAATTGCTTCAGAGAAAAGTGTCAAAAAATAGTAAAACCAGTTTAGAAAAAACAGCTGTTTGCTGTTTTTTTAATTTTGACAAAAAAAACCTGATTTACTGTGACTGTTAATCAATATTAAAAAACCCTAATCATTTCTACCTTAGTATGTCTGTCTCATCATTTCTTCCTTATTTGGTAAAAACAATGTACCTTTTTGTTTTGTAGTATCTCTGCCAGCTAATGCAAAAACAACTAATTGCTCATTCAAATAGCAGGTATAACGATTCAAACTTTTGTTAAAAAGTTTTATGAGTTTTTAAAATCCTTTTGATCATTTTACATTTCATAGCAAAAATATTTCCTTAGTTTATAAGAGTCACAAACATGCCTTAAAATCATGTCCTGGAGCATTTCTGCTATTCTACTAATTAGGAGCCATTGCACACTGTGCACACATATGTATAAAAAAATATACAACGTATGTTATAAAAAAGCTACCATGATTAAACTTTTCCTTATCATCCACTGTTAGTATATTGTATGAAACCATAGTCATCACATAATATATATAACTTTAAATGGCTTTTAGAGCGCTTAAAATAATTATTAAAATGTAGGCGATCAACATTAATTAGCTGAAATGAAAATTTATAATTATTTGTTATTATTGTTATTATTACTATTTCCACTCTAATTATTATATTTATATTACTATATTTATTTTGGCTGTTATTGTTTAGTATTATAATAATAGCATTTTTATTATTATTTATGTTTATTACATATTATTTATTGTTATTAACTCTAGCAAGGTTTTTACTTAAGACTAGTACATATCTTATAAATATCTATGAAGTATAATAACTGTTTCAAAAACATATTGGGAGTTGTCCACAAATTATGTCGCGTAATTTTTGACTAAGTTATTGCCTTCCTCTTACTGTGGTATATTTATCATGTTCTATATGGGTCATCACAAAACCACTTAGCCCTCCTCGCCCCATCCTCTCCTAAAGCATGACGTAATTTATGGACGACCTCTTGATTAATTATCAAATAATTATCTTGATTAATATTCAATATGATTTCAACACCATTTTTCAAAATTTCAACTTTATGCTTTTTAAATGTATTACTATTCAATATTAAATACTATTCAATATTAAATATTATTACATTTTTTTAAATATAATGAAAATTTGACACACAATATCTAAAAATCAAATGAGATGAACCAGAATTGACTTGGAAGATCAAAATGTCATTTTTGCCAAAAGTACCAACCATTGAATGTTGACCGGCCATTGTTTTGAGCACTGCTTTTATGTTATTTAGTTTCATAAATAGGGGAGAGTGGGAAAAAGTGGGACATTAAAAAATATTTCTAGAATAATTTTAAAATTTTTTTTATATATGTACTGAACCAAACAAGTTATAACAAATAAAGCATCATTCAAGGCATTAATTTTATCCCTCAAGGTTGACAGCAGGTTGTAATAAAGTGTATATTTTAAGGATATATGATTTTATAGGAACTGTGCAATCAGGCTAAAGTGAGACAGGTGTGGAGTAAAGTAAAACAAGCAAGATATTAAGAGCATATTAACGAAAATTATTATTTAAAAACTATTAAAATCGTAAACCACATAATCTTCATTAGAATATTTTAGAGGTTTCTACATTATAATTACACAAGTGATAGAAAAGTGAGAAAACAGTTAACTCTCTTTACCCTATTTCACCCCTCAAAAAAATCATTTTTTGGGTGTACTTTTCAAAAATGTGGTTTTTACCGCACGCAGGGAGACTTAGCAATCACTGTCAAATATAGGAGAGCTCCATTAATTGGAATTTTTTGGATATTGTACTTCCCCACTCTCTAATACAATATGTTCAAAAAAATGGGAACAAAAAATATCCAGAATAAGATCCAGAAAAGATCCAGAAAAAAAAGAGTAACTTAATATTTTTAAGTTAAATATTTTATCAGTAAAAAAACCTGTAGACATGCATAGAAATTTGCAACTAATTGGGATGATAATAAAAAATTGAGATGATAATAAAGAAGAAGTAACTTAAAAAATAACAAAGTAACAAGACCTATGAATCATAATTAACTTAAATGCAAATAAATATAGTATATATATATATATATATATATATATATATATATATATATATATATATATATATATATATATATATATATATATATATATATATATATATATATATATATATATATATATATATATATGTATGTATATGTATGTATATATATATATATGTATATATATATATATATATATATATATATATATATATATATATATATATATATATATATATATATATATATATATATATATATATATATATATATGTATATATATGTATGTATATATATATATATATATATATAATATATATATATATAAAATATATATATATATATATATATATATATATATATATATATATATATATATATGTATGTATATGTATGTATATATATATATATATATATATATATATATATATATATATATTATATACACTTACTAAAATGTATTTTTATAAGCATTTGCTCACTTTTTTTGCTAACCTTAACCCATACAACTTTTTTAGAAAAAGAAGAAAAAAAAAAAATGAAGAAAAATGAATGAAACGATATATATATATATATATATATATATGGGCATTTCCAAAAAATCACGCATGGAAACTCGTATATATTTTGTCTATTATTTTCATAATTTTATTATTTTGTTTTTTTGATTTATTTTTTTGTTTATTATTTTCATAATATCCAATTTGCTCTCATTTAATTATAACT